TTGTTTATTTATTTTAAATCCACTTTATTTCAAGGAGAAAAAGAAGAAAAAAACCTAAGTTTCAAAGCACTGATCAGGAGTACATACATTGCTCATTGTCATCCCCAAATCATTCACCCAGAGCACAGGAGTCTGCAGTCAGCTGTCCGAACACCAGCACACGTCTTTCTCTGCAGTGAACTCAGAGAAAGCAATAGTATGACTATCCGAACTTCTTTTATATACATACACTCACATACACGTGTTGTTTCTTTCAGCTTCTCACACTGAGACATACGATGTTTACACGTGTGTCTTATTTATTTCACTGAGTATGTAATACTCACTTTAGATAAAGGGTTTAGGATAAACAGGTGACCCTCATGAGTCCTGTCCTGTGGGGACCCTGGCCATCTCCAGGTTGAAGGTGCCATGGGCATGGAAAGTGCCCATGGTCACCTCTGCGTGGCAGAGCCCGGTTCTGGATGTGTATTCTCCGGCTGCCCCTCCCCAGACATGGTCCCCTCTGACACTGACCTCTGCTTGCAGGGTGTGAAGACTGCAGCCAGTACCACGACTCTGAATGTCCCGAGCTGGGCCCTGTGGTCATGGTCAAGGACTCCTTCGTGCTAAGCAGAGCGAGGTAAGTGACTGTCCTGGGGCCATGTCCGTGAAGCAGGGTTTTCTGTGGACAGAAGCAAGGTGCAGGGAGCAGGGCAAGGGCCGAGATGGGTGTAGTGGATTCCTCCTTGAGCTGGGGGTCCCGGGAGCCATGCTGGCCCTGGCGCTGAGCATCCTGGCCAAGCTTCTGGGTTTCCTCTGTGTTCTGACCCAGGCCTGCACCACCTGGCCGGGTGGGTGGGGCGGACACTCCAAGCCATTTCGGACTTTGGGACAAACGCCTGCAGCTGGGCGCTGGGGACCAGGACGAGGGCACCCAGTCCAGCAGGGCTGCCATGGGGTGGCTCTGGGCCTCAGTGGGCCCTGTGATGTGGAGAACTCTCGTTGCCCGCGAGCTGTGGTGTCACCATGCTGGTGCTAAGCCAGCACTTCCCAGAGGCCAGGCTTCTGGGCTCACCTGTGTGTGTATCTTAGCACGTGGGATCTCGTTCTCTGCAAAACAAACTAGTATTTTTGCCTAAAGCAGAGAGCCCCTCAACCCCCTTCTCCCGTAGACCCTTGGGCACCCCTGCTGCCCATGAGAGGCCATTGAGACCGTTGCTCCCATGGCCGGGGCTGCTGATGTGCCCCTCCATCTCGGGCCTGTGCCCCTATACCTCACGTCTCCTCACTTTTGGACATGTGTCCTGCTGCCCCCCGCCTTGCCCCGTGCCAGGGTCCCAGCACCCATGTCCTCTTCCTGCAGCATCCTGCTGGTGATTTGGTCTAGTTAACAAAGCCACATCCTCAGGGAGACCAGCCTGCTCCACGCTAGCCAGAAGCCCTTTCCTGTCAGCTGTCAGTGTGCTGTCCCTGCCCCCCGCCTCGAGATGTGGTGCCCCGAGTTCCTGTCTGTAGCACCCATACCCGAAATTCACAGAGGTTTAGCAAGTCACTGCTCTGGCTCGGGCCCTGAAACGTCTCATCTGGTCTGGGAAGTTTGGTGGCACTGAGGCCTTTATGCAAATGACCATGCCTTGACCACAGTCCTGAGTGATCCTCCTTCCTGGAGAACTCTCCAGAAGCTCTGTGCCAGGGGCAGGTGCCCTGCGGGGCCTCTCCAGTCCTGTGCTTGGTCCCAGGTCCTCCCTGCCATCCAACCTGGAGATCCGGCGCCTGGAGGATGGGGCGGAGGGTGTGTTCGCTGTCACCCAGCTGGTCAGGCGCACACAGTTTGGCCCCTTTGAGTCCAGAAGGGTCGCCAAGTGGGAGAAGGAGTCTGCGTTTCCGCTGAAGGTACGGGTGCTGCCTCCGGGGCTGGGCGGGTAGATGGGGGTGTGAGTGCTCCGTCCTCCTGTGACGCCACCCTGCAGGTCCCAGGCACCTGAGCTGGAGACAGCCAAGGGGAGCCTGGTGTGCATGGGTCTGTGGCACAGCAGGGGTTGTGGGTGTCCTGGGTTTCTGTAGTGCCCTGTGTTTGTGCCCACAATCTGTACCCTGCACAGCTTTTCCAAATGCACCATGCCACAATCCAAAGCCTAGGCCTAGGCCTGTGATCCCAGCTCTTGGGAGGCTGGGGCAGGAAGAACCCTATGAGTTCGAGGTCAGCCTCTGCTACACAGTGAGATCCTACCTCAAAAAACTAAAATGAAAACGAGGCGAGGGGCAGATGCTGAAAGCCGAGCACACGTGCAAGCTCATTCCAGCCGGGAAGAGGGCAAGAAGGGCACATGATTTGTTGACAGAATCAAGGCAAGAAAGCAAGGCAGGTGCAGGGGAGCAGAGTGACCCTGGCTCAGGTGCAGAGCCCGCTGTGCCTGTGTTCCCTGGATCACAGCTGGAACCCACATGTCCTGTGGCACAGTGATCTTCCATGGCACCGGCTGCCCTTTCCCATGGCCTCCGTGTGACCTTCCTCACCACCGGGCACCCTCCCGGCCTGCGGGAGCTGGTGGGCCCTTAGACAGCTGATAACCCCACCACACCCGCCACCTGCAGGTGTTCCGGAAGGACGGGCACCCCGTGTGCTTCGACACCTCCAACGAGGATGACTGCAACTGGATGATGCTGGTGCGGCCGGCGGCTGAGCCTGGGCACCAGAACCTCACGGCCTTCCAGCAGGGCAGCGACGTGTACTTTACCACCTCATGTGACATCCCGCCTGGCACTGAGCTACGAGTGTGGTATGCGGCCTTCTATGCCAAGAAGATGGACAAACCCATGCTGAAGCAGGCCGGCTCCAACGGCCACGGTAGGGTCCTTGCCACAAGCACTTGGGACGGGCGAGCAGTGGTGGCGTGGAGTTGGGGTCCCTGAGTGCGTGGGCCGCTTGCTTCTGGGACCTGGCTGGGGAGAAGGCCACCCCCGTGCTGTGCTCAGGGGACCTGGGGTCCCTGGGCAGGGTCCGTGTGTGCAGGTGCGGGTGTGTGTGTGTCCCTGGGTGCATGTACATGTGTGCACACATGCATAGTTTTGTGCTTGTTTCTGTGTGGTCAGTGCGAGACTTGCCCAAGTCTTGTGGACCCCCAAGCTGCAGCGTCTTGTCCATGTATCTCGTTGCCCTGGTAATCCAGCATGGGGCTCACCCTATCTGTGGGGTTTTAAGCCAGCTGGCCCACATTGGGGTCTTTGAAGGTGGATCCTCCTCACCTCGAGTCAGGTCAGGCAGCCGTGAGAAATGCTGCTGATTGACGCTTTGACCTTGAGCCAGCAGTCTGACATGGCTCTGCCTGTTCCTGCCCATTGCCAGGGAGAGAACTGGCAACCTGACAGTGGACGCTGCCCACCCCCCAGAGGAAGCTAGTGCCCCAGGAAAACAGCTTCCTTTCATCACAGGCCACCAGTGGCAGACAGCGGGCAGCTGGAGAGGGGGCGCGGTGGCCCCTCATGGTGGGCAGGCACCACAGCAGGTTCAGGAGCTGTGATGACTAGCGGCCAGGGTCCCGGGGCCCCCTGACAAAGCGCTGCACTCCACCAGGAACGGCCCCCACTGTGTGGCCATACAGCCAGGTCTGGGCCACTTCCGAGGCCAAGCTCACTGCCTGATGTCCAGGAAGTATAACCTGGATGGAACTCCCAGAGGAGGGACGCTGTGAGCTGTGACCCTCAGGCCCCTTCACCTGGAGGTTCGGGTTATTAGACTGACCCTGGGGATCTCCCCTTGTCGGCTGGTGTCTGGGTGGTGACAGACCCCTCGTGACTCAGAGTTAAAGCCGAGCTCAAGGCAGAAGGTGCGCACCATACCCGAGTCCCCTGCCTGTCTGCGCTGTGCCTGCTGGGGAGGTCTCTGTCTGGCAGCTGTGTAGAAGGGTGGGTGAAATGACTGTCGTCCAGTGGGGGCACCCCCGATGTAGGAGGACACCCTGGGATGTGGAAGGGCACCTCACTGATCGCAGACAGGAAGACATGGCCACATATAGCCTATGTCTGAGTGAGTGTTCCAGCTGGGGAAGTAATGAAACAGTGGGAGATTTTAGAATTACCCGTTGTGGTTTTTACTTTCTGTTTGGGGACAGATGTTAAGCAGCTCTTTGCTGGAGAAGTAGTTGTGCCAGTCAGCTTTCCTGTTGCTGGGATACACTCTGTACTTTAAAGGAGGAGGGGTTTCACATGGCTTATGGTGCCTGGAGATTCAGTTCGTGGTCGGCTGCTCCAAGGCAGGCACCCCCAGGTGAAAGGGCCTGGTGGAACAGAGCTGCTTGCTCACGGTGGTTGGGAAACAGGCTGAGAGGAAGGGGCAGACATAGACCCTAAGGTCATCTCCATGGCCTCCTTGACCCAGCCAGAAGTGTTCCCCACTGGTCCCTGGGGTGGATCCCAAAGCCATCAGGTCAACCCTATACCCATCTCCCTCTGTACCCACAGTGAAGTCGTGGAGGTGTTCACTGGTTGGTTGGGTCCCTGCGTCTTTTCTACCTGTTGAGCTCTTGGCCTACCATCCAGGCTGACTGTCCCTGGTGACTGTCCCCTGGGTCCCCTCTGTGGCCTCCAGCCTCCTGGGTCCCACTGACCCTCTTCCTAAGCCCCTCTTCCCAGGTCCCAGGAGGCTTGATCCAGGTACATGAGATCTCTGTCACTGCTCTGCACCTTGTTCCATGGAAGAGCGTGGTCGGTGTGTGATGGTCAGGTGTGTGCGGTGGAGGCAGTGCCTGGCACGCTGCCCATGCTTGTGACATGTTAGCTGTTGCCTCCCCTGTCAACTATCACATTACCTGTCAGGCCGGTGCAAGGCTCCACGGGTCACCAGGCCCTCTCTCTGGTCTCTTGCAGCCACAGGCACCCCGGAAGTCAGCACTCCTGCAGAGGCCGAACGCGAGCGTGGCCCGTGGGCCTGCAAGGTGTGCGCCAGCTCCTTCCTGGAGCTGCAGCTGCTGAATGGTAAGGCGGGGGCTGGGGTGGCACTGCACAGGGGATGCCAGTGCCCACGACCCTGCTGCTTCCCAGAGTAGCAGCCTGCCTCAGGCTATCCTTCTTCCCCAGGTCTTGGCCACACCCAGCCGCCTGTGGCCAGGCTGAGAGCACCCAGAGAACAGGCAGGTGCCAGGGCCTCAGGAGCCACACATGCCATGCCTGTCCTGCGTCCTGCCTGTCTCTGTCCCGTGTTCTGCCCACCCAAGCCAATGCCCTTCAGAGGTGGCAGGGAAAGAGTCCAGTGCCAAGCCCTGGAGACCTTCTGCTGCTCCCTCTGGGCGTGTGTAGTGCACAGGCCTCTCCTGGGGTTCTAGTGGTGTTGGCTGCGTAACTGAAGAATTCTTGGGGCTGTGCAGTGAACTCCGATCGTGTACATACCCAGCCGGGGCTGGAGCCGTGAGACACGACCCCGTGGGGAGCTCCTGCCTGTCACTGAAGCAGAGCAGCAGGGTGGCTGTGGGGCTTTCTGAGGGCTGTGTTTGTGAAGCGCACCCCATCTTCAAGTGGATGTGGTCCCCCTAAGGGACTGCAGAGCCCAGGGACATTGCACACGAGCACAAAAGACTTTTCAGGGTTGCAGTTTCCCCTGGTGGCTGGCTTTTTGTTTGGGTTTGGGAGACAGGGTCTGCTACGAAGTCCATGGTGGCCTTGAACTCACTGTGCAGCCCAAGATGGCCTCAAACTCAAAGCTCCCCTCCTACCTCAACCTCCTGAGGGCTGGGATTACAGGCGTGTGTCACTACGCCCAGCTGGTGGCTGGTTTTGAATGAAGAATAAAATCTTCTCGCTCTGGTGGCTGGTGCCAGTGGTCAAACTAGGCAGACAGTGGCCTTGCGTGGCTGGGCCATTTTCTACGTAGCCCTGGGCCCAGCCCTCTTCCTGCTCTGTGTCCTCTCTGGGGTTGATGCCTCCTTCCTGCCCTTGTCCCACGTCTCAGGACTGCGCAGGCTGAGGCCATGGGGTGAATCACCCGCCTGCCTCTGCAGCAGCTTGACTTGCAGTTGCTTCCACTCACATTGACCTAGCCAGGCCGTAGCCTCTGCTGACCCCCAGTTGCCCATTCTATCCTGAGAGCTGAGGGTCTCAGCTGTCTCTCTGCTGCAGACCTGCCCCATGGCTGCAGAATGGGTGTTCAGCACCAGACAACTGTGGAGGGGCCCAGGGGCTGGAGCCCTGGGGACAGAGGACTTGCGTGTCCAGGAGCCGACAGCACCCTCTGTGTGATTGGGTCCTCCCTGGTTTATGCTGCTGTGCATATTCTAGCGGAGGGGTGGGTTGCTGTTCACAGTTTTGCATCTCAGCCTTTATCACACCGTGCCTGACCCTGCTTCCGGAGGACCTTGTCTGAGTGCTTGCCTGATGCTTGTTGGAAAGCTTGGCTGTGTAGCTTCAGGTTCCAGCTTGCCAGCTTTTTCCTCTTTGGGGTTGGCCAGCTTCCAAACCGAACCAGTGCTTCAACTTGAATTTAACGCAATTTAGAAGATGTGTGACCTTAGGCAGGTGGAGATCACCTGGTGCTTTTTTTTTTTTTTTTTTTTTGGTCTCTTTGAGCCAGGGTCTCGTTATGCAGTTCAGGCTGGCCTTCAGCTCACTTTGTAGTTCAGGCTGGTCTCGAACTTGCAACAATCATCCTGCCTCAGCCTCCTGAGTGCTGGGATTACGGGAGTGCGCTACCAAGCCTGGCTCTGCCTTGTGCTTTTTGAAAAACAGCTCCACCAGGCAGATTAATTGAATGACTTAGCAAGGACCCATCTCAAGAAATAAAAACAAGCTGAGCATAATAGTGCACACCTGCAATTCCAGGATTTAGGAGGCCGAGACAGGAGGATTGCTTCAAGTTCAAAGCCGGCCTGGGCTCCATAGTGAGTGTAAGCCTGAACCACGCAGCAAGACCTGTCTCAGAAAACAAACAAACAGAAAAGAAACTGCTGCTAGACATGGTTGTGGATCCATCCCTATAATCCCATTACTTTGGAGGCTGAGGCAGGAGGACTGCAACTTTGAGCCCAGCCTGGGCATCTTGGCAGTTCAATGAGACCCCGTCTGAGGATTAAAATAAGAAAAAAATTGAAAATGGGCTGGTGATGCGGCTCCGGGCAAATGAGAGAGGAGGAGTGAGTTCATTGCACATGGCGGAGAGTGCGTCTGGCGAGGCACGAGGGAGGCCTGGCAGGCCGCTGTCCGAGATCTTGCTGTCAGCTTTGGTGTCCTTTCAGAGCACCTCCTGGGCCACCTGGAGCATGGCAAGGGGCTCCCCCCGGGCAGCCAGCCAGAGGCAGCAGCAGAGCCTGAGAAGGAGCCCAGTGCGCCCTGTGGGGAGCCCCCCACGGCCCCCGAGAGCACCACTGCTGCTGCTGAGAGTTCGGGGCCCCCCAAGGAGCAGAGGAAGAAGCCTCGCCGTGGGCGGAAGCCCAAAGGATCCAAACCCCAGCAGCCTCTGGTCATCTCGGAAGGCAAGGAGCCTGCAGGTGAGGGCTGGCACGCAGCCGGGGTGTGGGGGGCACGGCCGCCCTGGGCCCGGGCTCACACAGGTCATCTGTCCATCTGCCAGTGAGGCCACGTGAAGGCGGCCTCCAGGTCCTCTCGTTCAAGTGCAGGAATCAGACAAAGCTGTGCAGGCTGTGAGGTTTGACGGGAATGTGCCATGCCCAGCGCCTGAGGGGTGCAGACGCCCCCCTCTCCCAGCTGCCCTGATGTCCCCAGCGGAGAGGAGCCCACCCAGGCAGGGTCCACGTCCTCAGTCGGGGTTGGACTCTGTGCTCTTGGCTGCCTGTCCATGCCTTGAATTGGATGGAAAGAGGAGTGGTTTGAGGCCGACAGTTTCCTGCCTCGATGGGGATAGGAGAGCAGAGGAGAGGGAACAGTGGTGTCCTGGGTCACCTGGGTCCAGGATGCTCAAGCAGCTGGAATTCTAGAGACCAGTGTGCAACTCTCTGGGCAACCTTCCTTGGCCCCGTCTCTGACCTACTGTGAAGATTATTTGATACTTAATTCTCAGGCACTTTTCAAACATCCCCGGACAGTGGCTAATTATAAACTTGAATAACTCTAAGTGTGTCAGAACTAATTAAAAATTAGAAGGTTCTGCTGTCTCTCCACACCATTCAGGCTCAGTATAAAGAGATGGAATTCCCATGGTGGTTGTGTGGCTTTAAAAAAGAACTGTGACTTAGAACTTCCCTTTGGGTAAAAATGAACTTCAATTTATTTATTTTGGTGGTGCCAGGGATTGAACCCAGGGCCTTTGCACTGAGCTACGTCCTAGCCCTTTTCATTTTTAATTGAAGACAGAGTCTTACTAAGTAGCTAAGTTGTCAAAGATGGGCTAGAACTCAAGAGTCTTTCTGCCTCGGCCTCCCTGAGGGTGTGAGCCACCACACCTGGCTTTTCTTCAGACAGGAAAAACAGTGTGCATGCCCGAGTATACCCTTTGCCCATCACGTCTGCTCTGGGCCTTGAGCACACATCCTGGGTTTCCTGTGCCTGTCGCCGACCCATAACCACTCTGCTTGTCACACCCCTTTGCACAGAGCAAGTGGCTGAGATCATCACCGAGGTTCCTCCGGACGAGCCTGCCAGTGAGACGCCGGACGAGCGGATCATGGAGCTGGTTCTGGGGAAGCTGGCCACGCCCAGCGACACCATCAGCTCAGTGCCCAAGTGAGTCCCGAGGCCCTGGCTGTCCTCGAGAGTGGGACAGGCTTTTCCCTGGGTACAGCATCACACACTCAGGGTGGTTCGGGGCTCCATCCGCTGTGGACCTGGGTCTCTGTAGTGTGGCGGACAGCTGGTCTCCTGGAGACTCACATCTTTGAGTCCATCCACATTGTCAGCTGCGCAAAGTGATCCTACCCACATCTCCACCACTCACTGCCTGGGCTGCTCTGCCTCTGGCTGCCAGGCCCCAGTAAATGTTCTGTGTTATTTTGAGTAAATGTAACCCTTCGCTGCACCACCCCTGGCTCCCGCAGCCCTTTGGGCATAGGAAGCTGTGTCGCCTGTTATTACCCGGGCTGGGATTCTGCCCTGCAGCCCTGTGTACTGGTGCTATTTATTTCAGGCCATTTTGGGTTGGCAGAGTGTGCCTGTGTGAGTCCTGGAAACTAAGACCAAGACCTAGCAGAAGCTTGCTGCTTGTCTGCCTGTACCCTGTCTTATTCCCTGAGGTTGTGGGAGCCGGGAAGAGAAGTGCAAAGGTCAGGGTCAGATGCAGTGCAGGACAGAGCAGTGCCCAGTGAACCTGAGTGAGCAGGCCCGGGCAGTTTCCATCACAGCTCCCAGGTGGCTGGTGTCAAAGCCCAGGGAGGCTCAAGGTGACTGTCATGGAGCCCGGAGGTGCCCTCCACACCCCAGCATCTGCCTGAGCCTGCCCTGCCCTCCATGGAGCAGAGGCTCAGGGCTGCTGGCCAGTGTGGATCCTGGAGCCGATGTTCCAGGACCTACCCTGTCTGAGCCCCCATCCATCTGTCCATCCCTGTCGGGCAGGTTCACAAGTAGCGCACTGGCCCTCAAGCGCGGCCTGGTCCTGGCCAGCAGACATGGCATCCGGCGGAAGCTGGCGCGGCAGCTGGGGGAGCACAAGCGTGTGCACCAGTGCGAGGTGTGCAGCAAGGTCTTCCAGAACAGCAGCAACCTCAGCCGCCACGTGCGCTCGCACGGTGAGTGTGGGGCCCTGGGGCTGGGGCAGGTGGGGCCTGGATCCCCTGAGGAGTGAATGGCTCCCCATCGGCCCCCAGGGGACAAGCTGTTCAAGTGCGAAGAGTGTGCGAAGCTCTTCAGCCGCAAGGAGAGCCTGAAGCAGCACGTGTCCTACAAGCACAGCCGGAATGAGGTGCGTGCATGGCAGCTGGGCTCTCACGTCCCTGGTGGCATTTTGAAGCAGCCCCTGGCCGGTAATGCTGATGAGGCCAGAGGCATAGTCAGAGTGTGGATCCATCTGTGGCTTCTTCCTGCATGCAGTGGACGCCTGGATGGAGGCGGGTGGAGGACTACAGTGCATGCGGCTGGGACGGCAGGGGCTGCAGGTGAGGCCCTCATGTGGCCATCTGGCTAATGGGGCCCCTCTGACCAGGTGGACTCCGAGTACCGGCACCGCTGCGGCACCTGTGGGAAGACCTTCCGCATGGAGAGTGCACTGGAATTCCACAACTGCAGGACAGGTGAGCGAGCGGTGGCTGGCAGCTGGGCTACCTCCACTGCCGCAGCCACACCGGCCAGGCCACCACGAGGGATGCAGTGGGCAGGGACGGGCAGTCAGTCCCACAGCTATGTGAGCAGGAAAGAGAAGGTGGGGACCTGGTCATGGACGGGGGCTCAGCCAGGCCACTGCACAAGCCGCCCTCTGCAGACCCCATGCTCTGAGGTGCTGTGCTGGGGGTGATCCCATTGCCTGGGACCAGGTTCCTCCAAGGCCACACGGAGAGCTGGGAAATGAGACAGCATTACACAGAAATGCACAAGTGTGACCAGAAGATACACCAAGCATTTACACGTCTCTAAATCTATTATGGTAAAAAACGCATTGCCACAAAATCCTCCTCCTCACTTCAAGCACACACATCCCACTGTCCTGGCCGCTTCCTGCAGCAGGTCTGGAATCCTCTCTCCTCAGTGTCTTTAACTGTGCTGCCTGGCTGCCTCAAAGTCCTCTCAGGATTCAAAACATTTCCTTTTCTTGGTCATTTTGACCTTGGGGAGGAGCTGGTAGTCCCACGGTGCCAGATCCAGTGACTAGGGTAGATCAGGACACAGTGTGGCTGCCTTGCGGTTGGATGGTGCTTGGCGGCAGCATTTTCCGTGGTTTTGATCACACCTCATAACGACCCTCAGGAAAGAGGGCTCCAGAGCTGCTGCAGAAAGGGGCCGGGATGATGGGACGAGTGTGTGTGGAGTTTTGAGGGAGTTCATGACAGTGTCTTTTATCGTGGAAATTCTCTTTAAAATACAGACGCTCACTGTATATTTTGATGGAATCTTGTACGTCAGCAAGGCGGCGTGGCTCAGAGCCCAGGAGGGTGCTGTCTTCCTAGCCACAGTCCCCTGAGGTCTGGCGTGCCCTGTACTGTGGGGATGGTCACGAGGCAGAGGCCTAGGTGATTGTACGGGCATCAGAGAATGCAGAGGACAAAGTCACTGTCACCTCTGTGTTCTGCCTCTCTCTAAGACTCATAGAAACCAGGGGACAGCGCACCAGTGGTCAGCCCAGAGCCCACCCACTCCTGGTGGTCCAGTCTGTGGTGGAGCTCAGCTGGCCTCAGAATGCCCACTGTTCCCACCAGGGTGCCCCTGCTCACCACCTGCTGGGTGTCTTTGCTCAGCTCCGAGGGCTCCAAATAGAATCGCGCTATTCTCTGCGCTGTGGCAGGGCTGTGCTGAGGGGCCGGGAGGAGCTGTTCTCATCATTCACGACTCTGAGCTGCATGTGTCCAGGGCAAGAGTGGCCTCAGAGCTGCCGAGCGTACCCAAACCGTCTGCAGGTGTACAAGACCCCAGGGTGCGCCCCCTCCAGGTGCGCCAGAGACCCCCGGGCCTCCACCGAGCTACTCCCCGGTGGTGGGGGTGGTGCGGTTGCAGCAGAGACCCAGCCTCTCTGTGTCATGTGCTGCACTAGAGAAGTCGTCTGCCTGAGTCTCTCAGTTCTGCACTGGACCCCCAGTCCAGCCCAAGCCCTGCATTCGCAAAGTCACCGTCTTCTCTAATGCCAGTTGGCGGGTTTGGGGATGGTAACAGCAGTTGTGGCTTCGCGTCGTGGGACCTGCGTCCGTGAAGGCTGTGGGGACGTCTTAGGCGAGTGGTGCTGCGTGATTTCTCCTCAAGACGTCAGTGGTCCGTGAGCGTGCTCAGATGCAATGATCCTGCGGGAGCCCGCTTGCCCGCGCCTTGTTAGTCTGTGCCTGCGCGGCTCTCAGTGAGGTGCAGGACGCATGCGCTGTAGCTGGGCGGCCTTTTCTCACGCACCCCGCGGTGCTGTGACCGATGTCCCTCTGGTGGGGACGTCCTCTACGTACTCTCAGTGTTCCTGGTGCTGCTGGTTACCCCGAGAGGGCCCTGGCAAGCAGCAGGGGCTCAAATCCCCACCATTGGGCAAAAGTAGCCCCTGGCCTCAGAGCCTGGGGTCAATGTCCTTAGGCCTGGTGGACCCATTCCTGCGAACTCGTGCTAGGGACATTCAGCAGAGAAAAGCCGCATTACCAAAGATCGCATTGCTATATTGCCTCTGATGCCTGAGCCTGAAGCCGGGTATGGGTGGAAGGTTGCATACCACTGAAGCAACGGGGAGTTTGCTTAGCATGTGGCACCTGTGCCCTGCGTGATCACACATCACACATCCACACATCCACACATTCCCAGCAGGGCGGGAAGACAGGACAAAGCCGTCAGGTGCCAGGCCAGACAGGCACCTAGAGAGGGCTGCATCTGTGAACAGTGTTTCAGGCCAGCAAAGGAAAGCAGTCTCCACCAGAGAGTACTACTCTGCCATGAAGAAGAACGGGCTCCAATCCTTCAGGGGAAATTGGTTACACCAGAGACCACGATACTCCATGAAACAGACCCAAAAGTTTAAGTAGTGCGTGGTTTCTCTCAAGTGGGAAACTCGAAGTATAAACAAATGAAAGGCGGATGGTCAGGAGCAGGGAGATGTCTGTTTCACAGATGGATGGCGCTGGAGAGCTGGGGCAGGAAGATGACAGAGGAGGAAGCCTCAATGCACACCACAGCCCCCCACGAGTCTCCTACAGACAGAGGCTGAAAAACAACAAGAGGGAAGGACAGAGAGTGGCTGCAGGCCCAGAGGCAACGTGGCCTCCTGTATGGCCTCCTCCCAGAGGGGGGCTCAGCTCCAGGCTGAGGTCACACCTGCCTGCCACACCACCACCGTTCCTGGCCCCCGCAGGTCCTGAGTGTGGCCTTTGGGCCAAGGTCTTCCCTGTGGTCTCCCATCTGCTGCCTCCTCAATGCCCCTGGCCCTGGAGTGGCCTCGTGAAAGTTACACAGCCCTTCCTGTCCCCGAGTCACAGGCAGGGAGGGAGAGCCAGAGCTGCCCACCTCAGTCCAGTCTCACGGTGGCATCGCATGCCCATTGGCAGTGTCTGAAAACTCTATCACAGCTAGCAGGGGCCGGCCCCCTCCCTCTCGACCTTCCTAGGACCAGTGGGGAGAAGAGCTGAGCCGCCAGCAGGGAGGATTCGGGGGCAGTGCTGTCCACTAGCCTTGGGCGTCAGCGTGCCGGGCAAGCTTCCTGAGGCTGGGGCCAGGGCCTCACTCTGGGGAGGGTAATGGCGTGTCACCTGCCTGTCACAGCTCTGCAGGAGGAGATGGGTCGCCGGCCGAGGCCCAGGAGCAGCAGGAGGTGGGGGGCAGCCGCAGCTGGCGACTGACTGCGCTGTGTGTCTGTTTGCTCCCTGGACAGATGACAAGACGTTCCAATGTGAGATGTGTTTCAGATTCTTCTCCACCAACAGCAATCTCTCCAAGCACAAGAAGAAGCACGGGGACAAGAAGTTCGCCTGCGGGGTCTGTAGCAAGATGTTCTACCGCAAGGATGTCATGCTGGACCACCAGCGGCGCCACCTGGAGGGTGAGTCCTGGGCCTGGCTGCCCTGCTTCTGCCCGACCCAATGGGAGGCAGGAAGAGGGCGTAGAGATGGCGGGGACAGGTCTGGGACACCAGGCTTTGTGGGAGTGGAGGTGACATCACTAGTTCAAGAATTTATTCCAAGAGGCTTTTAATTCTAGGGGAATACCAGATGCACACCTGCAGTCCCAGCACTTGAGAGGCTGAGTCGGGAGGGTAGCCGTGAGTTCGAGGCCAGTCTGTACTACATAGCAAGGCTCTGTCTCAAGAAAATGTGAAAAAATCCTTTCCATGCAACAGATTCCAGAGTGGAATCACACAGCTTTCAGTCCAATGCAGGGACAGTGTCCTGCAGACACAGCTGGTGCGGGACCACCAGCCCTCCCTGCCCATGCGCTGTGCTCCCACAACCAGCAGGGAGCGCTGTCACCAGGACTCAAAGGAGGTCATGTGCAGCAGGCCTGGGGAGCTTGTGTCCCCAAGCAGGGGACAAGGGGTGCAGCAGGGGACTCTGAGACAGCCGGGGTGTCTGGAGCGTCCCTCTGTGGGTGGGTGCAGAACTGCATAGGGTCCCTTTCAGGAAGGAGTAGGGGGGACTTACCCAGTGCCACATGGATGGTGAAGGGATTCAGGATACAGTGCCCCCAGGTGATGGTTAGGGTCCTGACCTTCCTTCCAGGAACTGCTGTGCTTTGTAGTGGCTGTAGGACCAAAACACTTTATTAACACATGCAGCCATTCCTTCACGGAGACGGAGCCTACGCTCATCAGGAAGAAAGTGAAAGCTGGGGGTGGGGACCCCGGCACTGGGGAGGCTGAGGCAGGAGCATCACTGAGACTTTGAGGCCATTGAGGCCCTGTCTCAAAAACAAAACCAAACCAAAAGAAAAGGAAAGATAACAAGGTCATGCACAGTTTAACCTTACCCATACCTATGCTCATACACGAAGTAGCCACACGTGTGTACCCACACACACACCGTGTACGTGTGCCCGTACACATGCACACACCCATGCCATGCATGGCATACGTTCTTATACATGCGTGTGTATACAGGCATTGAACCTTTTTAAAAACAGGAAAGGGATCACAGCCTACGTGAATTTCCACACCTTTCTCACGTGTGGCCTTTCCACATGACCCATAAAGACTCAGGGTGTTTTTGCTCAGAATTACATTGAGGAGTCTCTGGCCCCTGCTCAGCTGCTGGGAAGCTCCAGGCAAGCTGCCGTGCCTCAGTTTCCTCACCTAGTACCACTGGGATATGATCGTCCTCCCCAGGGTTGGTGCCTGGCCTGAGGAACCCTTGCAAAGTTCTGGTGAATCTTAGTGCACAGTAAGTGCTGTGTCCGGGCGCTTTGGTCTCTGCCAAGGTCATTGTGAGCATGGACACAGCCTGGTGGTGGGCATCACCTCAGGGCACAAGGGTGCTTCACAGATCCCTGTGCCTAGGAGCCTGGACCACACCTGCCTCTGGCCACCATGACTGCCCACATGTGTTCAGAAGCCTGGGGTCTGCACCTCCGTGCCCAGCTGGCATTGCATAGACCCCCTGGAAGGAAACCCTGGGCATCAGTTGCTCTCTTCCACCAGAGCTGGCATGCTTCACATGGACTTTTTATTGTCATCACTGAGACAGAATCTCACTGCAGTGGCCAGGCTGGTCCGAGCCCCTGACCCCAAGCAGTCCCCCTATCTTGTGAATGCTGCAATCTCAGCATGTGCCACTGCACCCAGCCACGGGGAACTTTTCAGAGAGCAAGGTCTCCTTTTATCCTGCTCCTCAGCAGTGTCCCTTCAAGCCCAAAGTCTTTATGATCATCCAGCTGTTTACCCTGATTCTCCCTGGACTGGTTTAATTGGCAAGGCGTGGATGGAAATGGGCACACCAGGTGGTGAGCCCCAGGATGAATCACACTTGCTGTCCAGTTGCAGCTCCTGGCTGCTGTCCTGGGCTGAGACCCTGGGCGCCCATGTGTGCCAGAGCCACTGGCCCCATTCCGCCTTCTCTGTGTGGGGTGTGGAGGTACCACGGTGCCTGTGTGCTGAGCACTGCCACCTTGTGCCCTCTGGGCAGCCCCGCTTTGGGCCATCTGACCCCTAGCCAGGCGCTCACTGTCTTCCCGGACTGGGATTGCAGGTGTGCGGCGGGTGAAGAGAGAGGAGTTGGAGGCCAGCACTGAGAGCCTGGTCCGCTACAAGAAGGAGCCCTCGGGGTGCCCAGTGTGTGGCAAGGTAACACCCTGCAAATGACAGCCAGCAGCGCTGGGAGCTGGGGGGAAATGTGTCGTTTCCTGAGAGCAGTGTGGGGGACTGGAGGGCAGCAGTCAGAGCTCTGATCCTGTCCTACCGAGGCGCCTAGTCACGGCTCCCCCAGTTGCTCAGGATTTGTGCCACTGAAGGTGGGGTATCTGGCAGTGGGCTAGGAAAGGCTTTTCCTTGGCAGCCTGCAGAGCCTTGGGTTTTGGGATCCTGTGGCGCTGGTCCCCTCTCCGAGGCAGTGAGTGTGTGTTCCGGCACAACCAGCTATCCCAGCATATTGGGGGGTGCCCACTGTCCCCACGAGGCTGGCAGCTGTGGGCATGCCATCCCACCATCCCTTCCGCCAGCAAAGTGGACTTTCCACCTTTACATGAAACTTTCTGACTGCTTCATAAAGCCACACAGGAAGCCAGAGCCAGGGTCTCCCACCGCTGCCCTAGACCAGAAAGGCCAGGATGGCAGGGGGGTGGGGTGAGGTGCCCAGAGCACAGAACACAAGCCTGGAGCAGACTCTTCCCTGACAGCAACTTTCAGAGATCACAGGTGTCTCCAATGCCTGGCTCCTGGAAGGACCTCTGCTCGGAGCTAGTGAAATGTTTAAATGCAGCCAGGCATGGGGTGCACCCCTGTGATCTCAGAGCTCTGGGAGGCTGAGGCAGGAGGATTGCAAGTTTGAGCCAAGCCTGGGCAGCTAACCTAGTGAGACTTATCTTAGAAAAAAAAAGGGCTGGGGCTGGAGCTCAGTGCAAGGCCATGGTTCAACTCCTAGTACTGCAAAAAATAAATAAATAAATAAATAAAATAAATAAATAAATAGAAGATTTCCTCGGCTGGAGTCCCCACTGGCCTCCACTGTCAGCTGGCCAGGAGACTCGTCATGACCCGAGCCGGTGCTGCGCGGTTCTCCATGGGTCCTGGGCGGCCCTCACGGGGCATCTCCTGGCCCAGGTGTTCTCCTGCCGGAGCAACATGAACAAGCACCTGCTCACCCATGGTGACAAGAAGTACACCTGCGAGATCTGCGGGCGCAAGTTCTTTCGCGTGGATGTGCTCAGGGACCACATCCACGTGCACTTTAAGGTGCGGGGTACCACGGGCCTCTAGTATGGGGCCTCCACTTTGAGCTGGGCAGGGGCAGGGGCAGGGGCAGGGGCAGGGGCAGGGGGGCTGCTCGGAACCCCGGCACGGCGCTGCAGCCGGACCGTCTGTCCCACAGGACATCGCGCTGATGGACGACCACCAGCGAGAGGAGTTCATCGGCAAGATCGGCATCTCGTCTGAGGAGAATGAGGACAACTCGGACGAGAGCGCAGACTCGGAGCCACACAAATACAGCTGCAAGCGGTGCCAGGTAGGAGGCCGCCTGGCCATGCCCCCGGGCAGGGAAGGAAGCACGTGGCTCCTGGCCAGGGCACCACGTCAGACCATCTGCGGGCAACCGTGCCGACCAAGGCGGGGGACCCCTCCCCAGCCCTCTGCTCCACGGGGGGAGGGGGAGGAGTTACGTGGGGGGCGCCAGTCCCCAAGGGCTGGCCGGGCTGGGGCGGCTGTGAGTGCTTCTGTGCCCGCAGCTCACCTTCGGCCGCGGGAAGGAGTACCTGAAGCACATCATGGAGGTGCACAAGGAGAAGGGCTATGGCTGTAGCATCTGCCACCGCCGCTTTGCGCTCAAGGCCACCTACCACGCACACATGGTCATCCACCGTGAGAACCTGCCGGACCCCAACGTGCAGAAGTGAGTGGGCAGTGCCCAGGGGTGGAGTCTGTGGGGTACCCCCAGGGTGCATCCCCAGCGGTGTCCCAGCCTCGCACCTGCCCTGGAGCTGGGCCCATCGCGGCCACCTCAGGAAGGCAGGACAGGAGCCCCATCTCCCGCCACCTCGCCCTGTACATGCCACGCTGGGTTGTTGTGACCCAAGTCCCCGCCTGTGCGCCCACAGCAGTGGTTTTATCCTTCCCTTCTGGCGGCCCCAGACCAGGTCCCTCCCTAGGGCTCCGTCCTTGCTTATAGACATGTCTTCCCCCGGGCCTGTGTCCACCCTTCTCTTCCGGTGAGGACATAGCCACGTGGCTCAGGGCCTGGCCTGTGGCCTCATCTTACCTGCTTCACCTCTCCCCAGTCCCCAGGCCCTCCATGGCCATGTTTCGTGCACGTGGGTTAGGATAGAATCCCAGGCAACCCAGCTCAGTCCATGATGGAAGCCAGGATTCTTGCACCTTCTGTCGACCATGGAGCCCCTTGGTCCCTGTCCCCTGGGTGCCTGGGATGGGCTCCCGAGGTGGCCGTGGCACGCCCTGCCTCCCCAGGCCGTCTTAAGCAGATGTCTGCCCCAGGTACATCCACCCCTGTGAGATCTGCGGGCGCATCTTCAACAGCATTGGGAACCTGGAGCGCCACAAGCTGATCCACACAGGTGCGTAGCCCAGGGCTCTGAGGTGGCCGCCCCGCCCTGCCCCCTCTGCCCGTGCCCCGCCTTCCCATTTACCCAGCCCCTCTCCCTCTGCCTTGCTCCGCCCCTTCTGCCCTCGGCCCGCCCCTCACTCTCCAGCCCCGCCCCCTCTGTCCCAGCCTCGCCTTCCCAGCCCCACCCCTCTGCCCACGCCCCTCTTCCCTGGCCCCACCCACTCCATCCGAACCCCGCCCTCCGGGCCCACAGTCACCCTTAGGCCTAGGCGCCCAGTCTCGGGGATTGATGCGGGTGGGTGGCCGCCAGCACTGGGCTCCAGCGTCTCTCTCTGCACGGCCCTGCAGGCGTGAAGAGTCACGCGTGCGAGCAGTGCGGGAAGCCCTTCGCCCGTAAGGACATGCTCAAGGAGCACATGCGCGTGCACGACAACATCCGAGAGTACCTGTGTGCGGAGTGCGGCAAAGGTAGGGCGCGCCCGAGGCGAGGGGGGGGGGCGCGCTCTGGGCGCAAGCAGCGATGCAGTGCGCCCAGCGCTGGCTTGGAGGGCGGTGAATCCGAGACCACAGCCTTTGTAGTCAGTATGCGCGCTGAACTCCTCATGGGTCCTTCCTTCGCTTCTTCCCCCTGAACCCAGGGCCTTCGCACTGAGCTCCGTCCCTGGCCCTTTTTTACTTTGTTTTGGGTCACAAAGTTTCACTGTGTTTCCCAGGCTGGTCTAGAATTTATGACCTTCCTGTCCCAGTGCTGGGATTAAGTCGTGCGCCGCCACTGAGCCCAGCTCACAGTCTTGTCCAAGAAAACCTCCTTCTCCAAAAAAGCCCAGGCAGCAAGTCCCCACCTCCTGTCAACCCCGTTTCCTCAGTCCCAGTGGGGCAGGACTGCCCCCTTTAGCGAGGAGACAGGCATTGCTTTGCTCTGCCTGTCTGATCTTTAAAGTTGTATACTCCATAAGTGTGGGTTTATTTTTCTCTCATTTGGCTTTTACAAATGTAGAATAGTGTAAGGGAAACCCAACAGGTGTATAACCTGGCCAGCAGACAGCCTCCATTAGCCCAGGCAAAAGGACAACTTGTGAGCCAGGCCTGGTGGCTCACACCTATAATTCCAGCACTTGGGAGGCTGAGGCAGGGGGATTGCTGTGAGACCAGCCTGGGCTACATAGCCAAAAAACAAGGAAAGAAAGAAAAGAAACAGTAGCACATAAAGGTTGAAAGCAGGCACCGAGGTGGTGACTCCCTTGTTCTCTCCCAAGGTCGGCATTGCTTCACGTAAGGAATAGGGCTGTGCCACTGACCAAGGCACCCCCCTAAAAAATTCCTGAAAAAGTAAATTTTTAAGAAGCCTGAGGCAAACACTCAGGACTAATCTGTAAGGCTTCTGTTTGGCACCAAGAGGAAAACCCAGGTGTTCAGAGATCCAGGTGTTCAGGGTCCAGGTGTTCAGAGGTGCTTCTTCTGGGTGTAGGGATTTTAAGCATTTAAAACATAACCATCCTTTCCCAAGTAGCTCGGGAATGGGGCACAGATTGAACCCAGACCTGGTATAAAGAGCCTTACCATTTGCAGCCAGTGGCAGTTGTGTTTATTTCAAAACTATTCACAGAGCTTTTTTTAAAAATGGAAAGAAAAGGGCTGACCATGGTGGCATACACCTGATATCCTAGCAGTCTGGGAGGCTGAGGTAGGAGGATCACGAGTTTGAACCCAGCCTGGGAAATTTAGTGAGACTTGGTCTTGGAACTTTAAGAAAGGGATGTAGTTCAGCGAAGAGGCCCTGGATTCAGTCTCCAGAAGACAACATCACTGTCATAAAAGCGGGGCTCTTCATGTGGACGAGGGGCTGGGATGCTCTCATGAGATCCACAGAGCCAGCAGCTAGAGAGGCAGCAACAGCCCGCCCCAAGGTGGACAAATCTGGCTGCATGTTGAGTACCCCTCATTTGTAAATCCAAAATCTGAAATTCCAAAATCAGAACCCTGGACTGAGGTTCCAGAATTTTCTGATTTGAAGGAGTTTACATTTAAAAGTTTTCAGCTTGGGGATGTTTAGCCACTCAATTCTGGACAAATACTCCAAAATTTGAAAAACTCCCAAATCTGAAATACTTTCAGCAGTGAGCATTCTGGATAAGGCATGTTCAGCCCGCCTTTGCTCTGTGATGGCTGGCCCAGTGTGACCTGGCAGCCTCTTTGTGTTAGGCAGCATGAGACACCAAATAGGGAGTCCCAGGCACACGGGTGTGGTGGCCCCAGGACCCCTGTGTTCTCTCTGCTAGGAGTTCCATTTCCCCAAGCTGCCCTGGGCCTGCCAGGTCAGGTTCTCAAGGGAAGGGATCCCCAACATGGGCAATGGTGAGCTGGGGTCTCCCATCACCCCGGCCTGGGCCTCTGCTCTCTCCACCTCGGAGGAAAGCCTGTGGCGTCACCTGCGGGTCGGTGGTCCCCTGCACACAGGTAGAGGGTGGTTGTTTGTTGAAAGAACAAATGAAAACCAGGGTTGGTGAGTAGTTGTAAAAACTGGGCATGGTATCTGCATGGGCCGCACCAATGTCCCTGATAGTGACATACCTCTGTGACATACCTCTGGCACTGTCCTGGAGGACCTCACTCTGTGTCCTCTCTGACCCTGATCAAGAGGGTGTGTGACTCTCAAATCAAAAGACTAGGGTTTTTCCCTTTTTCTTGTGAACCGGGGCACTGAACCCGAGGCCCCTGCACTGAGCTACATGCCCAGCCCTTTTTATGTTTTATTTTAAGATAGGGCCTCTTTCAGTAAGTCACTGAGTGTCGTAGCCTGGTCTCAAACTCAGGACCTTCTTGCCTCAGCTTCCCAGTGAGCTGAGCTCCCAGGCCTGCGCGGGTGCCTTCAGTTCGCGAACAGCTGTGCACCCAGGTGGCTTTGTGCGCCCGCGCTCCCTGCGCACCGGCTCCCCCTGCTGGCGCTGCGTGGCAGTTTCACCTTCTGTCCTGGGCTCCAGGTTCGGAATCCTGGGGTTCTGGCCGCGGCCGCGTTTTCCAGGCTGCTCAGCAGCAGGCTCTGTCCCCTCCTGCTGGCTCCTCCCTGAGGTGGCAGCAGGGCCCCTCCTCCAACTCTCCCTGGGGCCTCCTTTGCAGTCTGAGCAGGATTGAGGCAAGCGGGACTCGAGCAGGACTCCATCGTGCTGGCCTCTCGAAGTCGTGAGCACTGTCCCAGTGCTGTCCTGGGCCGCTTAACCCTTCTCTTCCCAACTCAGGCCCGGTGCCAGGGATGGCCTGGCTCTTTTCAGCTCCTTAAGACCGGCAGCGTTAGGCTGACATGGTGGCACATACCTGTCAACCTGGCACTCAGGAGGCTGAGGCAGGAGGATCCCAAAGCAAGTCTGAGGGCCAGCCAGGGCTTCACAGTGAGAGCCTGTCTCAAAAACAAACACACAGAAAAGATGAACAACATTAAATTAGAGGTAGGTCAGAAGTCACTGAAACCACAAACCATGCAAGGCCCTCCGCTGATCAGCATCTGCCACCCAGAGGGGCAGGACCTGAGGCCACCCGCAGTGCTAGGATGCGGGAGGTCACCGGCGTCCTTCCTCTGCTCAGGGCCAGTGTCAGACAGGGTCCTGGCCGCCCGCGACTGAGCCCCTCCCTTCCCCAGGCATGAAGACCAAGCACGCACTGCGTCACCACATGAAGCTGCACAAGGGCATCAAGGAGTATGAGTGCAAGGAGTGCCACCGCAAGTTCGCGCAGAAGGTCAACATGCTCAAGCACTACAAACGGCACACGGGTGGGTGGGCATGCGCGCGGCCCCACCCCTCCCTACTCCACATTCCCCGCCCCCATCCCATCCCCACCACTGTGCCGGGCAGGCGGTGGGGGAGGGGGTGTGCTCCGAGGATCACGGAGGATCCTGTTTCTGCTTCAGTTTTAAAAGCCCGGGGTTGTGTAGATGCGAACCCTCTGCCGCCGCTGCGTCTCCACCCCCTCATTTCCTACGAGGGCGATGGAAGCTTCTCACATGCCAGGTCCCGCGTCTGTTTTGGGGTCGCAAACCGAACATGCGATCTGTGCCGCCTTGGCCCACGCGGGCTGCTGCTCCGTCCCGGATCCGAGGTCCGAGGTCCGGTCCGTGTCTGGCTGATTTTCCCCCAGAGTCAGAGGTGGGCAGCGCTCAGCCCCTGGGTCCAGCCTTGCTCCCCGTGGGTTCAGTTCCCCGAGGCTGGCTGTGTCTCTGATTTCTGGGACCCGTAAGTCCTGGACTCTGTGTGTTTTTGTCTTGATTCGGGCCGGATTTGGCCTCCAGCTTCATTCCTCTCAGTCAGGATTGCTCGGCTGGCTCTGTCTTCACAGCCCTCGGATGAATTTTAGGGTTGTTTTTCTACTTCTGGGTCATCGTATTGAGTGGGATCGCAGTGAGTCTGTGCACTGCTCAAGGTAGCATGGACATTTCCGTCTCACCCACTCTCCAGTCCACGACGAGCAGGTCCTCTTCCCATTTTCTGGTCTCACACTTGCAATGATCTTCCTGCCTCGGCCTCAGGAGTACAGAGATTAGAGGCGTGCCCAAGCATGCCTGCCTTTGCTCAGTGTTTTGATGTAATTGTCATGGTACAAGTCTTTCTGTCCTCTGATTAAATTTATTCTTAGGTATTGGTTTGATTTTATTTTTGCATCTATTATGGATAGGCTCTGGGTCATGCTGTCTTTCTCAGCAAGTTTTTCTCCTAATTTTTGGAGACAGGGTCTCACTAAGTCAGGTGCTCACGCTGTGTGGGGGGGTCTTGAACCACCATCCTCCTGCCTCAGCCTCCCAGAGGACTAGAATTACAAGTGTGCTCTACCACACCACCTTAACTATCGCCTCCTGTGTTGCCTTCCTATCCTGCGACTTTCTTGCATTCCTCAGTCCTCATGGTGCTGCGGATGGAGTCCTTGAGTTTTTTGTCCCTAGAAACAGGGAAGGTGGGCAAGTCCTCTTAGTCCTGCTTGCACACACACACACACACACCCACTGCTCTGCCGCAACTGCAGCCCTGAGGAAGTGCGGTGGGTGCGGTGCCCCCTGTGGTTCTGGCACCAGCAGGGTGGGGGGAGCCCTGGGCTCCAGCCTGTGTGGACTGTGGGCTACGCACAGCCCGCATTGTGTCGGGAAAGTCTGTTTGCTTTGTCTGTGTGGGCTGAGGCTTGCGATTCACACACTGCTCTGTATCTCCGGCCTGGTACAGCATCGACCACAGTGCATGGCCCAGGTACACAGACCCTGGGGCATGGCCAGTACTATCCCTTCTGGTGTCGGGTTCTGGTCCTCATGGGCCAGTTTCTTACCGCCTGTCTGAGGTCTCTCGTGGGGACAGGGGGGTGTTGCCAAGGGAAGACATCGCTGGTCCTACAGACATCGCTGGGTCTCCACTCATGTCAGGGGACATGGCTGCCCCACCCCCGCCCCCACCCCCCTCTGACAGGAGCTGGCATGGGTCATGGGCGTTTCAAGGTGGCTTTTTTCTGCACATGTGTCTTCCCCACGGGGCTCTCCAGGAGAGGATGGCTTCTCAGCGAAGTTAAATGCAGACTCTCATGCGGGCATGGTAGGGTGCGCCTGAGGCCTCAGCTCTCAGGAGACTGAGGCAGGAGGGTCACAGCAAGTTTAGGGTGCTTTAGGCCACATGGTGAGTTCAAGGCCAGCCTGAGACCCAGGCTCAGAGACAAAAAGAGAAAATTAAAATGCACAAGAGGCCGCAGCACTCAGGGGCCTCTCCCTGCAGGGATTAAGGACTTCATGTGCGAGCTGTGTGGGAAGACCTTCAGCGAGCGGAACACGATGGAGACGCACAAACTCATCCACACAGGTGGGGGCGGCACCTCTACCCTTCCCCCACCCCATGGTGACAGTGTCATCCCCCACACGGGCTTGGCCTGACCCAATGGACGGGTGTCCCCAATGAGCAGGGGCAGGGCCAAAGGACCCAGTCCCACCTTGCCCAAGGTGACCCTGTCTCTGTGCTGGCCCTTGCAGTGGGGAAGCAGTGGACATGCTCCGTGTGCGACAAGAAGTATGTGACAGAGTACATGCTGCAGAAGCACGTGCAGCTCACACACGACAAGGTGGAGGCGCAGAGTTGCCAGCTGTGCGGGACCAAGGTGTCCACGCGCGCCTCCATGAGCCGGCACATGCGGCGTAAGCACCCTGAGGTGAGCCAGCCCTGCGCCGCCCTTCCGTACATCTGGGCCAGACCTACTTGTGCAGTAGCTGAGGCAGGAAGATCTCATGTTCCAGCCCTGCCCAGGCAGTTTAGCCTGGAGTTGGGGGTGTGGCTCACACCAACGTCCTGGGCTCAGTCCCCAGTACTGCAAAAAAATCAAAAGAGCACCTGGGGACCTCAGTCATGGCATGTGCTTCAAAAGAAGGCCAGTGAGCGCTGGCTGCTGGAAGAATGCCAGGTTTGCCCAGGGTCACTCAGGTCTTCTGTGGTCAAGAAAGCAAGCGGAGCGGATTGCAGGCCGATGTCCAGTGTCAGCATTACAGGCCGCAGCCAGCCGTCCAGAGGCAGCTTCGATGGGCCCCACATCGATGGGCTTTTATCCTATCATATTTGAAGGCAGGGTGCAGTGTGGAAACTGCAGGCGGAGCAGAAGTTGCAGGGCCCCAGCAGATGGGGCTGTTGTCCTCAAAGAGCCCCACCCTGGCTGCTGCACATGGCTCTCCATTTCACTTTTGTTAGCTGAGTGAGAACTAGTGTGTTGTGGTGGCAAAGCCTGGCATTAGGGAGGCTGAGGCAGGAGGAGCTCTGAGTTGAGCCAGAGTTGAGGCCAGCCTGGGCTACATAGTGAGTAGCTGCTGGAATCAGAGGTGTACAGTTCCCTGATCTCATCTGGTGTCCTCTGGTGAGTCCCCTCCCCAGCCGCTCACCACTGGCCTGTGCCTTCAGGAGATGTGCTCGGGGAAGGGAAGCTGTGGGTGTTCTTGGGCAGGACCCCGAGCGGGTGGGAGGCAGCGAGCCAGGGTGAGTGTCAAGAGACAGTTCCATGGCACTGAGGGACGGAAGGCAGGTAGGGGCATGAAACCAAACTGTGTGAGCAGCCGTGTATGTGTGCGGAGGCTGAGGCAGGGGAGGTGACTGCTATGGGACAGGGTCCCATGCTGCTGTCCAGCTTCTGGCCTTGATAGGGAGTGGCAGAGGCAGCAGAGGAGGGATGATGCCCACTGCAGATAGGCATGTAACAGTTGAGGAAGACGAGGCTGGGGAGGGGGGTATGGAACGGGGAGGGACAGGACACTCGGGCAGCTTCCCCAGCCACCCGGAGCAGAGGCGTTGCCAACAGTACGCATACCCTTGCAGGGGTGATGGTGCCATCGCATGTCTCTGTTCTTGCAGTGGGGACTGCCTGGGGTCCCTCCTGCCCTCTCACTGCCTCACTGCCTCGGCAGGTGCTCGCTGTGAGGATCGATGACCTGGACCACCTCCCTGAGACCACCACCATCGATGCCTCGTCCATTGGCATCGTCCAGGTGAGCTGAGGGGTCAGCACCGGCTGGGAACTCCTAGGTGAATGCAGGAGTCCAAGAGTCTGTGCCCCACTTAACCTACACCTTCTGAGTGTGCTGGTTTGGGGTCCATCTCCTCCCCAGGCTCTGGGGACAAGCCAGTGCGTCTGGCCAGCGAGCTCACATCGCTGAGTGTTGGTGCATTTCATGGATGGTTTCCATAAAAGCTAAACACGATTTCCTCATCCTCAGCCAAGCAAGCTTGGTGGTGTCAGGTCAGCTCCAAAGCAGCTGGAAGCCGCTGCCTCTGTAATGGGTGTGCTTCTGCGGTCTGTGTCTGCAGTGCAGGGGGATCCCGTTCCTTGTGGATAACTGGTGCGCTTGTCACACAACTGCCTTCTGTCCTCTCCCCAACCCCTCCCCTCCTGCCCTTTCTCCCCCTCTGCAAAGCATCTTTTTGTTGTTATGACAGAGAGTGCATGCTGTGCTCTCCTATTTGGGATCAGTTTGCCCCCCTATGCCGAGAAGGGTGCCCATGACAGCAGCTACCAGGGCGGTCATGTGCTGTGGGCAGGCCTATGGCTTTTGGGGCCCAGCCCAGGACCCCATGAGCTGTTTCTGCAGAGGGTAGGAAAGGAGCCCCCATGACCTCGCCCTGGCAGGCACCCCACTGGGTGGGACGATCCTCGAGGGGTGAGAGAGGATGGGGGACAGAAGGAGGTCTTGATGTCACCCGCCCTTGTCCTCCATGCAGCCCAGGAGCCCAGCCTCGTGCTGACCTGCTTTGGAGGACTCAGCCCCACGTATCTGTGCTGGACATTGGGAAGGAGGAATAGGCCGCAGTGCTTCAGGCTCCACTCTGCTATCCCAGGAGGCGGCTGCATGGGGGTTTGGTTACAGGCCCGTTGAAATCCAAACTTGTTTTCTAAATGAATTAATTTCAGTCTTGGGGGGAGAAAGCCTGGCCTTGAAAGCATTTTCCTTGGTCTGAGCTCCCTAGGCAGTGACATTTCCCTTTTTCCAGTGGCTCTAAAAACTAGTTTTTATCCCAGAACCCTGGGAGACTGAGGCAGAAAGAATCCATAGGTTCAAGCCTAGCCTGGGCAATGTAGTGACATAGTAAGATCCTGTCTCAGAATTTTGAAAGGGATGGGGTTGTAGCTCAGTGTGGAGGCCTTGGATTCAATCTCCAGTACCATCAAAAAGTAAAAATACAAAAAAACCAAAACCTGTTTTTTAAAGATGTTTACATTTGAGTGCAAATCACAGCCACTGCCACCATGTGCAACTGGGTGTGCAGCTGCTGGCTGAAACCGATCTCCCCACAGCCCGAGCTGAGCCTGGAGCAGGAAGAGATGGCGGAAGGGAAGCACTCAAAGGCTGCCAAGCGTAATCACAAGCGGAAGCAGAAGCCTGAGGAGGATGCTGGTGCACCGGTGCCAGAAGATGCCACCTTCAGCGAGTACTCAGAGAAAGAGCCTGAGTTCACGGGCAGTGTGGGCGATGAGACGAGCTCCGCTGTGCAGAGCATCCAACAGGTCCGTGCAGAGCAGGTGGGCGAGCAGGTGCACAGGTGGGAGAGCAGGTGTACAGGTGGGAGAGCAGGCACACAGGTGGGAGAGCAGGCGCACAGGTGGGCGAGCAGGTGCACAGGTGGGAGAGGAGGTGCACAGCAGGTAGAAGAGCAGGTGCACAGGTGGGAGAGCAGGCGCTCAGGTGGGAGAGAAGGTGCACAGGTGGGAGAGGAGGTGCACAGTTGGAAGAGGAGGCGCACAGGTGGGCGAGCAGGTGCACAGGTGGGAGAGGAGGTTGCACAGCAGGTAGAGCAGGTACACAGGTGGGAAAGGAGGTGCACAGGTGGGAGAGCAGGCGCACAGGTGGGAGAGCAGGCGCACATGTGGGTGAGCAGGTGCACAGGTGGGAGAGGAGGTGCTCAGGTGGGAGAGCAGGTGCACAGCAGGTAGAAGAGCAGGTGCACAGGTGGGAGAGCAGGTGCACAGGTGGGAGAACAGGCATACAGGAGGGAGAGCAGGTGTACAGGTAGGAGAGGAGGTGCACAGCAGGTAGAAGAACAGGTGCACAGGTAGGAGAGGAGGTACACAACAGGTAGAGCAGGTGCACAGAGGGGAAAGAGGTGCAGAGCAGGTGGCAGAGGAGGCGCATGGCAGGTGCAAGTCTGCACAGAAGCCCCTTCCCCTTCTGTACACCTAGTGGATGCACGTGCTCTGCATGGTGGCAATCGGCACTCATGTTCCAGTTTTCATATAGCAGAGTCCTGCTTCATGCTGAGTCTCAGTCACTTCCGGTTTCCAGGCCGGAGTTTCCCATCAGACTGTGGAGTGCTGGGCACCGCCCTCCTACTTGCAGATGTGCTGATGCTGCTGCAGAAATCTGTGTTCACTTGTCCTCCCCTCGCTCTGCACAAGCAGGCCACTGCTTCTGTTTTTACTAGGGGTGAGGAGAGGCTATGAGCCATGCAGTTAGTGCCTTTTTTCCCACCAGCCCAGAGCTCAGAGCAAAGGACCTACCTCCTGTCATCTTCCCAGGTGGCTTTTTTGTCTTTCTAGCTGGTGAGACTCATTGATTCTCTGTGCTTCCCACTGCGTCTGGGATTCTCTCCTCTAGCTTGTTAGCCCTTTCCCCAGGACTCCTTGCTTCAGGACAGAGGTGACTTGGCTTCCTCTTCCCCCACGGATGCTGGCTTCTTGGGCTTTGCCAGGTGCACAGTACCCAACCTGCCACACACAATGCAGCCCCGTTAGCAGGACCAATTCAAGTCTCACTGTGTCTCTTTCAGGTGGTGGTGACCCTGGGGGATCCCAACGTGACCACCCCATCCAGCTCTGTCGGCCTGACCAACATCACCGTGACACCCATCACCACTTCAGCTGGGACTCAGTTTACCAACCTGCAGCCAGTGGCCGTTGGGCACCTTACTGCCCCCGAGCGCCAGCTCCAGCTGGACAACTCCATCCTGACCGTGACCTTTGACACCGTCAGTGGCTCTGCCATGCTGCACAACCGGCCCAGCGAGGTCCAGATCCACCCCCAGCCCGAGGCCTCGAACCCGCAGTCTGTGGCCCATTTCATCAACCTGACCACGCTGGTCAACTCCATCACGCCCCTAGGGAACCAGCTCAGTGAGCAACACCCACTCACCTGGCGGGCTGTGCCCCAGACAGATGTGCTGCCCCCACCGCAGCCCCCTGCACCCCCACAGCAGGCTGCGCCACCCCAGGCGCCGGCGGAGCAGCCGCAGATGTACAGCTACTGAGCTGCAGCTCCGAGCCTGAACATCCGGGAGGGCCCCGGCTCATTGCGTCATAGGGAAAGTCCACTAGCTTTGCAGAGCCATCTTGCGCCTGGCTCACTGGTGCTGGGGTGGTGGCCCACAGTGGGCAGGAGCCTGAAACTCAATCCTCGGTTTGCCTTACCAGGGAGGCGCCATGGGATGGGCCACAGCCGGCCCTGGGACTGTGTCCTGATGCCGAGGTTGGGGACTGGACAGGGTAGAGAAGAAGTGGGGTGCCCAGGACAGGAGGACACAGCGTCCTGTTGTCTGTTCTCTGTAAAGTTGTTATCGTTTAAACCCAGACAGCAGGGCCAGGGATTTAGCCCAGCGGTATAAGTGCCTGCCTGGCAAGTGTGAGGTTGTGAGTTTGATCCCTGGTACCAAAAAACAAAAATCTAGACAGCGTCCACTGGGACAGCACCACAGTGAGTGGTTCTTGTGTGGGAGTTTCTCTATGAGTGGACAGAAACTAAAGGGACATCTGCCTCCTCTCCAGAATATGAATTGGATCTGGTTTATCGAGCACATGTAGGCCAGGGCCATGGTGAGATGTGCTGTGACAGGGCCTGGAGGGTCAGCCTGGGCCAGGGTCCGCAGGGCCACCTTGGGGACGCGGCTGGGGCAGAAGGGGCCTCTTGGGGTATTCATCAGCTGATTTTTAGCAGCTTTTTCCTTTTCTTTTTTAACTATATTTCAACAGGTCTTCAAGCCCCAGCTGTGGCCCACCCATCTTTTGGTTTATCTGAATGGGATCGAGTTGTTTGCACTGTAGGTCAGGGCCTTGGCGGGTCAGCACGGCTGCCGGCTGGCCGTGGTTGAGGGCCAGCCCCCACCCTCTCTGGCTCTGCAGCTGTCTCAGGGTCTCTGCTCCCCAAGGGCATATACTGTGGCTGGAGCCCCGCTGCAAGCCCAGACCGAAGGGCAGGGGGAAGTCCGCGTTTTCTTTCCACACGAGCCCCAGTTCCAAGGGTGAACCACAGTTCCAAAGGGTGCCTACATGAAGAGCAGTTTTCTTATGGGGTCAAGAGTTTGGCTTTTGCCAGGGGAGAAGTGGAGTTGTTCTGGACATAGCAGAACCCAGTGTTCTGCAGGTCTGGAAGCATTGAATGCCTCTTGAGGGGCGGGCACCGTGGGGACACAGGCTACCGCGCATGCGTGTTGTGTGACTGTAGCCAGCAGCACTGGACACCGAGGCAGGAGGAGGTGTGATTGGATCGCTCTGGTCCATCTTTAACACTATCGAAAACATAAGGGAAAACCTTGCTGTATTTGTCCTTGGTTACTTCTTGTCCTCAGTCTTCTGTTACGTGGCGCCATCTGGGAGAAGAGGCAGAGAATGAGCAGCAGAGCTAGGCATGGTGGCGCACACCTGTGATCCCAGCACTCAGGAGGCTGAGACGGGAGGATTGCCGTGTGTTTGAGGGCAGTCTGAGCTGCACAGTGAGACCTTGTCTCAAGATGAGCAGCTCAGCGTGAGCCAGGTGATGGTGCTGCGAGAAGGGGGTTGGGATGGCACGCATGAAACACAACTTTCTCTGAGTTTAACTTCGTTCCACACAGCAGCGGGGCTGGGACTTGTGTGTAGTGTGTGTTGTCCAGAGTCTAGGTTCTTCGCGCCCTTGTGGGGTCCGGAACTTCGGAAACCACGCCGGGGACCCCCTGTTCTGCATCTGCACATTTCGATCCGCCACTGTGGACTCACAGCGGGCGACCATTAGGCTTCTTAATTTATAATTATTTTATGTTATTTATGTAAATAACCAGCTGCTTTCTACACCCTAGCTTCATAAATGAGCTTGGGTTAGGGGTGATTTCTTTTCTAAAACATCGTCTCCATTTTCCAGACAGAAGTAGTCCAGGCACAGTGGAATCAGCAGGCGATCCCAGGCTGTGAGGTAGTTTTTTAGAATCAGCGAAGGTTTTTTCTCTTAGCATCTGCAGAAGCTCCAGGGCAAATTACCCGGAGAAGAAGCCAGACAGGCCTTGGGCTCGGGCTGAAACCTGGCCAGCGTTTATCTTTTTTCCTCTTTCCTCTGCAGCAAAGGCCTTTGGGGTGCAGTTTTATTTTTTTAAAGAAGTCATTTTTGTCCCTAGAGCAAGGCCATGTCTGACGTTTTCAAAGAACCTAATTTAGGATGTGTGGCCAGAGTGCTGCACATGCACTTAACACACACACACAAAGGCCTGGCACTCTGGGAAGCTGAGTTCCCCACGGTCCCTGTGGACACGTGGTCTTACTCGGGTTCCCTCTGAGGCGGGCAGGGTCATCTTGCAGCAGGTGCTATGGTTTGCAGGTAAGAAACTGGACAGCAGAGAAGAGGTACGACTCGGCCCATGGTCACCAGCAGTACACAGTTCTGTGCGTCACTGTCCTAAGGAAAGAGGTGCCTGGGCAGAGGGTGGCCGGGCCACTCTTCCCCGCCAACCTGGATCCCAGGATTGATCCAAGGTGAAAGGACTGGTTCCTAAAGAAGGAATTAGATCCCGCCACGTGGCCCGGGCGTGTTGTGACGCCACCTTGGTTATCATACACTGATAAATTGCGAGATTCCCCTGCAGCCCAGGGACTGGTGGAGCCATGGTCACATGCAGGGACAGCTGCAGGCGGGCGCTCCCGGCCCCTGGCGGGCTCTGGCAGGCGAAGTGTTGTCTCAGGGAAATGCCGCATGCCAGGCACTCTCCCTGGGACTCCGCCGGGGAGGCAGGTCCCGTGTACCTTCTTGTCTCCCCAGTCCGTGCCCAGAGGCCAAGGTGCCTAGCTTCCGGCTACAGGCAGTGTCTGATTTCCTGTGGGATCCTGAACGGTGTCCAAGCTGTACTCCCTGTCACATCGGTTTGTATGACAGTAATAAAAGGTGCTGTGACCTGTGTTTTCACCTGCTGGTCTGTGTTAAACCTACCGCTTGAGATGTTGGCCCGCTTGGTGAAGATTTCAGTTTTTGTTTTTTTTAATCGGTACCGGGGATCGAACTCACCACCATGTACTTGTAAGGCAGGTGCTTATGCCACGGAGCTAAATCCCTGGTCCTAAAGACTTCAGTTTTAAAATCTTACTATTAAGACACACTGCCAAAATGCCCTCAAAATCCAGCCCCTCACTTTCCTGCACTGTCCTGGCTGCCTCGAAGTCCTGAGTGGATTCCAGTGTTTCCAGTGTTAGTCATATGGACTTTGGGGAGCAACCAGGAGTCGCACGGTGCCAGATGGGGTGAATAAGGTGGGTAAAGACAGACTCATGTTTTCATTCTTCTTGTTTTCTGGTGGGTTGCTTTTTTGGTACCGAGAATCAAACTCAGAGCCTTGCACCTGCCAGGCAGGTGCTGTCTGTGCCTGGCGCCCCTGAGCTATAATCCCTGGCAGCTCCTGTTTTTGACAGAAATTGCCACAGGCATTTGGACCAAGGGGTGATGGCAAAAACAGTAAATGTTTACATTTAAATTTGTATTACAGTAAAAGACACATCACCCTCCCGCGTCGTCGCAGCCCTGAGCACACCGAGCCTGTCACTCTGGCCGTGAGTCTGCTCCTGCAGTGTCTTTAAGTTTAAAGATTCGCTGTATCTGTCCCTCAGCCCTGGTACCCGTGACTACTTCGTGTCCCTGCAGCCCCCCAATCCCATGCCCAGGAAAGGTCTGGGTCAGCCACAACTCTGCCGGAGATACTGAGGTGTACAGCTCTCCCAGGGACCATGCAGAGGGTGACCCAACAAGTCTGTGACCTTCTCTGCAGCTCAGATGGATCAAGGGCACAGAGAGGAGGGCTGAGAGGGCCTTGTGGGTCAAGGTCAAGAATGGTCACTGCTTGATCAACCTGGCTTCGATTTCTTGGGAGTGGAGGGGTCCCGTTCAAGTCAGGAGACACCTGGCCATCCCATCTTCAGGGTCCACACTGCCGGGTGCTGGTTTGGGGAGCATAGATGTGTCCTGGTGACCCCCTCCACCCCAGCAGGAAGCAGTGAGAACGCAGGAAGCAAGTTGTGTCTCAGAGTTGACCCCGAATGTGGAAGCTGGCCAGGAACCTGCTCACTGGTGTCACCGTGCAGCTTGGACTGGGCGAGCTGGGCCACCCTCACTCAAGCCTTACGTTGTCCCCGACTGGGTCTATGATACCCCTGGACCCCAAGTTCCCTGAAAGCAAGCAGCACCATCCTGCCTTCCACTTCTTTCTGCCCAAAGCACCACTTCCCTGAGCCTAGTTGGGCCAGAGGTCCGCCCACCGGGTCTGCAGAGCTGTGCCCCCGCCTGTCTCTCCGCAGCAAAAGTGCCCGGCTCAAGAGCTCAAGCCGTAGACCCTGGCATGGCATCTAGCACTCGTTCCTCCTTCTGTCCCTCCCTCACTCGGAGGGCAGTCCTGTAAGGCTGCCTGTCCTGTGTGTCTCACACATCTTTAGTGGCACCTAAAAGCACCCTCGTGTCACAGTGAGTCAGCACTGGATGTGAGCAGGGTCACTGGCACCGTCCCCACTCTGTGTCTGGAGCCTTGGATTTGCTCTCACACGCAGGCTTGCGGGGCTAGGGGTTGGGACCTGGGGTCAGGGCAGGAGCCTCTCCGCTGCCCTGTGCCTCCCGCTGTGCAGCCCGGGGGGGGGGGGGGGGGAGATCCCGCCCAGCACAGCAAGCGCCAGCCACGCAGGTGAGCAGGGACCAGGTGCCGGGAGGCTGCCTAGGCCCACAGCCCTGGTGTGGCGCTGTGCTCGGTGAGAGCGGGGTGGTTACTAAGACGCGAGCTCTTGGTGCAAGCCCTTCTGCCTGAGACCTCGGCTGGGTGGAGCCAACGTCTTCAGGCTTGACCTCATGAAAGACAGTGGGCTGGAGGATCCGGAAGCCTCAAGGGAAGCAGCCCCCCGCCCATACATACCCCACTACAGGGCAGAGTGAGCCCTGCAGACTACATAGGCGGATCAAGGAGAGAGGGCCTGCAGAGGCGGCCAGCGGCCAGCAGGAGGCGTGGTGGAATCCCCCGGGTACCCTGATCACGCATGCGTGGGAGGAAAGCCCCCTATTCCCGCAGCCAGCGAGACCCGGAGCAGGGTGATCTGCGCAGGGCTGCACCTTAGGGAGGAAGCGGGGGCTGCCTGAAGCCGGGGGTGTGGCTCAGCGGCGCGGGCGCTTGCCTGTGAGCCGGGGTCCTGAGTGTGAGTTAAGTCCAAGGCTCCGGACACGAAGAGAGCGGGATGGGGCCAAGGACCCTGCTCTCATCACCGCCCGCGCTGCATGTACCTGTGCTGACTCACTGTGACAGGAGGCTGCTCTTAGGTGCCACTAAAAAGGAAGAATGAATACAACCAGCAGACATGGAAACTCTGTGATATAACACACAAGGATGCAGCTTTTTCTTATTTTACACTTATTGGTACTGGGGCTTGAAACCAGAGTCTTTGCACTGAGCTACATCTCCAGCCCATTTATTTTGAGACAGGATCTCATGAAGTTGTCCAGCAGAACTTAAATTTGTAATCCTGCCTCAGCCTCCAAAGAGCTGAAACTATAGTAATGTGCTGCTGGGCCCAGTTCACAAGAATACAATTTTTGAAAAAAAAAAAAAAATTTGGAAAGATAAGCCTGCATGCAAGATGCTTAGCTGAGTCCCAGAGTGAAGCTCCAGACTTCTCACAGGAATACAGAAATGTCCAGCCCTCCCCCCCCCCCCGCGGAAACACAGGCCGGCAGCCAATCAAAATCTCAGAGAAGAATGGAGACAGCTTGACCCTCGGAGTGGAGTAAACCACCCACCCAGAGCCAACTCGGGAGAGACGGGCTGGTGGACCGGATACCGAGGCAGGGGTTCCCTCTTTCCTGTACCCATGTCCACAGGAAGAGCCAAACAACAATAGACATGGCCAGCATTTTTTATTTATTTATATTTTTATCTAATTTTTAAAAATTCATTTTATTTCAAGGAGAAAAAGAAGAAGAAAAAGAGAGGAGGAGGAGGAAGAGGAAGAAGACCTAAAACAAGATTTCAAAGCACATCAACCAGGGGCAACAATAATATATGCATTGTGCACTGTCGTCCCCAAATCACTCACCCAGCACACAGGACCTCTGCAGTCAGCTGTCTGAACAACACCAGCACATGTCTTTCTCTGCAGTGAACTCAGAGAAAGCAGTAGTATGACTATGTGAACTACTTTTATATACATACACTCACGTACATGTGTTATTTCTTTCAGCTTCTCACACAGACAATACGATGTTTACATGTGTGAGTCTTATTTCACTAACGAGTTTGGCTTCAAGTTGCATCCATTTACCTATAAAAGTCTCCAGTTTATTCTTCTTTACAGCTTGGTAGTACTCCATTGTATAAAAATACCATATCTTTTTTATCCATTCCTGGTCTATGGGCATTTAGATTGTCTCCAAGGTCTGGCTGTTACAAACTGTGCTGATACAATCATGGGTACACATATATCACGGTGGAATGATGATTTTAATTTTTCTGGGAAGATACCCAGCAGGAGAATAGCTGGGTTGAGTGGGGCCTTTATCCTAGTTTTTTGAGGAATCTCCTCACTGATTTCCAGTTGCCCTAGTCTGCACTCCCACCAACAGTGGAGAAGGCGCCTCTTTCCCACAATCCCACCTGCATTTGTTATTGGTTGATTTCTTAATGTTAGCCATTCTTTCTGGGGTGAGGTAGAATCTCAGTGTTGTTTTAATTTTCATCTCTTGGATGACCAGTTATACTGAACATTTTTTCATGTATTTATTTGCCATTTGTATTTCATCTGAAAATTGTATTCAGCTGCCCATTTTTGGACTGGGTCTTTAAATCTGGGAGGACTGAGCTTTCTGAGTTCTTTATACGTTCTCAATAGTAATCCTCTGTCTGAGGAACAGCTGGAAAGCATTTTCCTACCACATGGTGGGTATCTCTTTACTCTGTTGGTGGTTTCTCTTGCTGTGCAAAAGCTTTTGATTAGGATGAGATCGCAGGTATATATATATATATTTATTTATTTATTTTTGGTTTTCTTTTTTTATTGGTACCGGGGATCGAACTCACGACCACCTGCTTGCAAGACAGGTGCTTATACCGCTGAGCTAAATCCCCAGCCATATATATATATATATATATATATATATATAATTTTTTTTTGTCTTTTTCCTTTTTATCGGTACCGGGGATTGAACTCACGACTGCCTGCTTGCAAGGCAGGCACTTATGCCGCTGAGCTAAATCCCCAGCCCCCAGGTATATTTTTTAAAAGACAAAACTAATTGAACTCCCAGAAGTGAAAACTTCTATGACAAGATGAGAAATACCCTGGATCATATTAGCAGCAGATCAGACGACACAGAAGAAAAGATCGGTGAACTCAGAGCCATAAAAACTAACCAAAGTGGACCACAGCCAGGTGTGGTGCTGCACCCTGTGTTCCCCACACTCTGGAGGCTGAGGCAGGAGGATTGCCATGAGTTCAAGGCCAGCCTGGTGAGCCTAGTGAGACCTCATCTCAAAAAGCCAAACTAATAAAAAATTTCAAAAGTGAAACATAAACCAGGAAATCTGGGGTGAGGTTGACAGTAATCCAGCATCGACAAGCCGGGGGCCCCCTGAAGGAGTGAGAGAGAGAGAGAGAGAGAGAGAGAGAGAGAAGGGGGACACACAGAGGAGCAATGAGCACGGTCTTCCCATATTTGGGGAAAAAAAATACTATACCTTTCATGGTCAAAAAGTTCAGTGAGCCCCAAGCGCCAGAATCACAAAGAAAACTCCGTTCAGGCGTAAATAATCAAGTTGTCTGAAGCTGAGATAATAAGATAACCCAAAGTCATCCTGGAGGAAGGCAGTTATGTCCAGAGGAGCAGAGATGCCGGCGGTCAGCTTCGCATTGTGGAAAACACAGCGCAGACACAGCGGGCAGCACCCG